TACCTCATCTCAGAAATATAGACAGATACTGAAAGGCCGAAAAGTTGTAATAAATATGGCGACAAAGATGAGGACAATAGTCCGAATAATGTAAATAGTGTACATAATACCTCATCTCAGAAATATAGACAGATACTGAAGGGCCGAAATGTTGTAATAAATATGGCGACAAAGATGAGGACAATAGTCCAAATAATGTAAATAGTGTACATAATACCTCATCTCAGAAATATAGACAGATACTGAATGGCCGAAATGTTGTAATAAATATGGCGACAAAGATGAGGACAATAGTCCGAATAATGTAAATAGTGAATTTTTTGTACGATAACAATTTTTATAACTTGGAAATAGCCCTGGGAATAATCGAAATTAATTGCAAAATTTAACGAAATTCATTTATGAAATAAAAATAATTGTTTTTACGGAAAGTAAGGACCTACGTTCATGCCTCTCCCCAACTTTCTATCCTTTGTAACTTTTATCAACATTTACCCCCTTTTACTATTCTTCCTAATCCCCATTCTGCCATCCGTTTACACACGCTCCTTATTTTCTCATTGTGTCTTTGAAATGTCAACTGTCTTTCGAATTCTAAACACAAGTGTTCTTTTCATTCCGATTTTCGTTTCAACTTCCTCATTCGTCACATGTTACGTACATGGTATTCTAAGCATCTTCCTACAGAATCACATTTCTGCGACCTGAAATCTATTCATCAATGAGCAAATTGTCGAACATTCACCGCCATATACAAGGATTCATAACGCATAGCAGTTCAGCAATCTTTCGTTTGTTTCCAACGAAATATTCTTGTTTCTTAATACTTTACTTAGTTTTTGGAAGGAATCTTTCACTAAATTGTCTCGTTTTTAAATACTTTGCTTAATTTTGGAAGGCATCTTTCGCTAAATGTTCTTGTTTCTTAATAATTTACTTAGATTTTGGAAGGCACCATTCGCTAATTTTCTAGTTTCTTAAGACTTTGCTTAGTTTTTGGAAACCATCTTTCACTAACTTTTCTAGTGACCACTTGCGTCTTAGTAGCTTTATTGCCTTGTTTGGATTAAATGATTTAAAAAATACAGAAATTTAACTACCTGGAAAATGTTATAACAGACGATGGGAATTATGACGCAGCTAGATCTCATCATTTTAAAACTGAAATGGCTAGATGCAACCATAAGTTCTATGCTAACAGTTTCTTAATCTGATAAGTATGTTTATGGTAATTGTTTTGATGAGCTATCCTCTTCGGTACATAGACTTTAGGAATTTAAGTGCAGTACTAGATTGGAAGGTAGGTCCCATCATTTTACAGTTGAAATGGCTAGATGTAACCATAAGTTCTATGCTAACAGTTTCTTAATCTGATAAGTATGTTTATGGTAATTGTTTTGATGAGCTATCCTCTTCGGTACATAGACTTTAGGAATTTAAGTGCAGTACTAGATTGGCAGGTAGGTCCCATCATTTTACAGTTGAAGTGGCTACATGTAACCATAAGTTCTATGCTAACAGTTTCTTAATCTGATAAGTATGTTTATGGTAATTGTTTTGATGAGCTATCCTCTTTGGTACATAGACTTTAGGAATTTAAGTGCAGTACTAGATTGGCAGGTAGGTCCCATCATTTTACAGTTGAAATGGCTAGATGTAACCATAAGTTCTATGCTAACAGTTACTTCTTTTGCACTTCTCACTTGTGGATCGCTCTTCCGGCTTCTTGCTTCCCAGTTAACTTTGATCTTCAAAAATTTAAATGCAACGTCAATCTTCTGTCTTTTTAATTCTTATACATTTGTTGTCCTCTCTCCTGAATAATATTTTTTTCTTATATTTTGTAATACTCAGTAACCTCTTGTATATTAGTGGCTTTATTACCTTTCTTAGGGTGAAATGATTAACTAAACAAATGAAGAAGCGACAAGAAGCGTATTATGATTGATTAAATGGAGTAATCAAATAACAAAGTGAAATCAAGTACAAAATAGAGGAAGCTGTTGAGGACCATGGTCACCCGTTTTCCAAAGGGATTGTCACAGAACGAGAGAGAGAGAGAGATAGAGAGAGAGAGGGGGGGTTTAAATATTAAATTCATTGAATATAAAAATTTGTAATAACTCAAATACAAAGGAGGATAAAAAAGAATAGCATAAAGTAATAAAAAGGAGAAAGCTGTGGAGAGTCATGATCATCCAACTTTTGAAGTGACAGCGTATATTTAAAGAGCGAAACAACATGACTTGTCAGTTTCATGCTAATGAATAAAGGAAAAAGAGGGGAGTAAGTGTTTCTGAATGAAACAAGCGGAAAGGACGTTGGGAAAAGCCATGACCACTAACAATCTCAAGGTATATGTCGCATAGAGAAATAAATTGGTAGTTTCTTGGATTTGAGTACGATCGACGAAATTCAAAGAGCAGCGGAATTCAATCAAAGGTCGATTGAATTTGTCAGTTTCTTTTAATTTGAAAGTCAGCTCTTTCACAATCAGGCT